AGAGAGAGGAGAGAGAGAGAGACATAGAAACAACATGAAACAGTGGGGTTTTACCGTGGAAATGGGTAAAAAGAATGTGAGTTGAACCCGAAATTAATGTATCCATTAATAAAAATAGCAAATTTTATGTCTCTGCGGTCTCGGACTTGTGCATGTTCCGAGTATAGGAAAGCCGCTCAGTGGAATAGATTCTTCGGAAGACTCGGACTCAGGAAGAGGCTCTGCAGCTACCCAAATGAGTTGGTGGTGGTTTTAGGGTTTTAAACTCCTACAACATCATACAAATTAATACATAACGTTATAAGATTAAACATTGATTGATCCATATATTATGATGGAATATTGAGAAATATTCTAACATCTCTCATCTCCGTTTTGTTCAGATGCCTCTCTCTTTGGTACGGATGGGGTACACGGTATTTTGGGAATTATCCGATTTCAAAATCATAGTAATTCAGGTTTTAAGGTTTTTTTTTTTTAAATTCTAATTCCAAATATATGCAGGTAAAATGAAGATGGTGACATTTAGAGAAGACATAAACCCTAACCAACCTGCTAGTGATTTGTTTCAAAATTTTACTTGATAACAATTAAACCCTTCTCTACATGCAATAAAATAATATAAATTTTATGATATCGATTACACCCGAATCCATAAAAGTATATCTGCAATAAAAATTATAATATATATACATATATTTTATTAATGCATTTAATGTTAAAATAGATTGCAAATCTTTTAGTTGCAATTATTGTGACATTTCTTTAGAGTTATTTTACATAAATAACTATAATTAAATAAAAATTATTATATGAATCATTTATTTTTATGTAAATGTTGGTATACGAATGGTTATTAACATTTTTATATATGCATTCACTATATATATTAGGCATTTATCTTTGTGGTTATGTGAATGATTTGTAATCAAAATCACATGTATGTAAATGGTTATGTATGTAATTTTTTTAAAGGATAATCCAAGATGGAGTTAAAATTGTGTGCCTTTCATATCTTATCGTTTTGCCACATTGTATGTAAATTTATAAATAGTAAAATATCATTTTTTGTTCTATAAATAAATATATGTGACTTTAGCATTTATATGTGTTTTTATAAGCAAAAGTAAGAATAACAATTTCTCCAAATATTTTTTTTTGAGAAAAATTAGTTTTTTTTTTGTTTAACGGAGAATATTGTATCTAAATCCGAAATAAATTTTTGGAAGTAAATACTCATAAAAAGTTGTTAATCGGTATCTCGAAATTTCCCACAAATTTATACTGATTTTTTTTCTTCTGTGTATTCGTATTTCGTATTAATTTATTTCCTCTCCAAACTTGTTTACATTTTCTCGCCAACATTCCAAGGCCTCATATTTAATTGAAAGGAACATTTTGGAGACAAACCCTTTAGACATAAGTCATGTGATGAGTGATATGGGTCCACAGACTCTTCCTTTTGTTTGTATAGGCTATTCTTTTTTCACACAATCTTCCAAAAGTATATGGTTAACAATCGAATAAGTAACCGAACCGAATAACATTTAACTGTAATTGAATCGAATTAGATACAAAACTGAATGGTTCTTATTTTTATAAAATGAAAAAAAAATTGAATTTAAATCCAAAAAAGAACCGAAATAATTGTAATTTTTTTTAAGAAAATGAATTTTTTTTATCATAACGGAACTGAATGCGAATCGAACCTAACGATTATAATTTTTTCAAAACCAAAATAACTAAACTCAGAATATAACTAAACTGAATCATCCGAACCGAAATATAATCACCCATGTGAACAAATATCTAAACCATGAGGCTCTAATGCAAATTCTTTTTTTTTTTCCTTGTGTATCAGCAAACCCTAATCTTTGATCGATTGCTGAAGAGTTTTTTATAAACTAGAGAGAGAGAGAGAAAGAGAGAGAGCTTGAAGTACAAGTACAAAGCACGTAGCTTTTGATGAAACAAAAAAGGACCCTTCAAACCAATGAAAGGAAAAGTTGGAGAAAAGAACAAACTTTGAGCGGCTCTCAAGTGATTGCGACTCAAGCGAGCCAAATGGTGGGCGCCGCAAAAGGATAAGAGAGAGAGAGAGAGAGAGAGAGAGAGAGAGAGAGAGAGAGAGATTCTCTTCTCAAACTTCAGACTGAAAACAGAGAAGGGGGGAGTCTTCTCATCAGTCAAAAGAAGCAAAGTGAAATTTGGAATTATGAGTACTGTTCATCAGACCCCTTCTTTCCATCAGTTCAGAGCAGAAAGCACATAATAACAAGGAACAAAAATTTACAAGAACAGCAGTCAACATGGAGATGAATTCTCACCTGTTTTTACCTCGAGGAAAAAAAAAGACCCCTTTATTCCCCAACCAATAAACAAATCTTGAAGATGAATTCCGAACCAACGAAAAAAGACAAGACCTTGAACTAAGACAGTTGATGGAAACAAGAACACAGAGAGAGAGAGAGAGATGGGTGTACTGGTACTGTTGGAAGAAGAAGAACAATGAATAGAAACAACATGAAACAGTGGGGTTTTACCGTGGAAATGGGTAAAAAGAATGTGAGAAATTTGAAGTGGGTGAAAGTAAAAAAAGAAAAACTGTATTGTCTGAATCAAAGATGGGCACCCTTTGATTTCAGTTCTCTAATGTCAGGGAGTGTATGTCTCTGTTGTGTTTGGGGCTATGCACACATAACTACATATGGTACATCGTTCTTCTGGCCGCGACCGTTTCAGACAAAGGAGCTGTCTTTGGTCGCTTCGGATCGGTCTCTCTGTCACTGAACCACTGTCAAGAACGATGGCTCGGAGTGACCGCTGCTTCCTCTGTTTGCTGTATTCTGAAACGCGATCTCGTAAGCCATCTTCTCATCATCCTCGTCTGCTTCCAAGTCAAAACTTAGTGGCTCCTCAACTTTCTCATACTCACCTATCGTTAGTTCTTGTTGTTTTTCTTGTTCTTGCTGCTCCATCTCCTTCACAAGGTCTTCTGGCTTCAATTTTGAATATTAGAATCAGTTACGGAAGAATCGATGAATTCAGAAACTCGCATACATTTGACAATGAAAACGTTTTACCTTTTCCGCTCCTCCTTCCCTGAAAACACCCTCTTGTGTACTCTCCTCCATGTGTTCTTCCTTTCTCTTCTGATCAGAAATCGAAGCTGACAAATGGGTTTGAACTTTAACGCTTTCTGGCGTTCTGGACGTCGAAAATGGACTTGAGGTTTGATCTTTCTTGCTGTAGAGAGCATCGAGGCGGTGGAAGTAAGGGCAAGTCTTGGCGTCTTCAGGGCGTTTCTTGTTGCTCTCTTTCACTTTCTTGTAGTATTTGTTTATGTTCTCCCATTTCTCTTTGCACCTCTTCGCGCTTCTGTTGTATCCCATCCGCTTCATTGCCGATGAAATCTCTTCCCATAGAGGACCCTTAGGCGCTGCTTCTTGGTACCGTGGTTCCAAGCCACTCCGCAGGTTTATGAGCGCAAAAACCTCGACCTTTGGCCACCGAGATGATGCCGGATCAGAGCTTCCACCCACTTGATCATGGTGTTTTTCCGGCATCTGGGGAGGAATCTGCTGTTGAGGAATAGCCATTATAGGTGGTGACTGAGATTGAACATTGTGCGTTTCTGAAGCTCGTGAATGCTGATGATGTGTGTGTTTCATCTTCCGAAATGGAGGTGGAGCCGGCTTTGCGGCGGCCGCAGTCGGAGGTGGCGGCCAGAGCTGCGGCGGTGGCGGTGGTAACTGAATGGTGTGGCCTGTGATCTTCTGAATCAAAGAGAGGATGGCCGAGTCGCGAGAAGCGGACGCGGCTCGATCTTGAGCGAGGAGCTCTTGCTCTCGAGCCAAGCGAAACATCTCTTGGCGTTTCCAAGCTTCTTCTCGATCGATTCGTTCTTGTTCTCTCTTCTCGAGAGCCTCTATGAAGCTCCTTTGCATGGCGGCTTGCTTCTGCAACACCTCCCTCACCAAACCACCGAAAAAATCCATCAACTTGCTGTTACTACTGCTTCCACCTCGATGACGGTGTCCGCGTTTGCGTTTGCGTTTGCGGCTGCTCGGACCGGCAGCGTCTACGTCCATGTCCAGGTCATCGTCGTCATCATCAGACCCCATGCCAGAATCCGTGGAGGAGCTGTGAGACGAGAAGGTGACTCCGCCGACGGCGGGTGGCGGCGGAGGAGGGAAGGCTGAGAAGGGCGAAGAAGAGGGCGTTTGGATGGGATTGGCGACGGAAAGAGGTACGACGTTAAGGGTTGAGGGAGCGGTTGCGTTTGCAGCGGCAGGGGCAGCGGTAAGAGCCCCCCGGCAGCGTCTACGTCCATGTCCAGGTCATCGTCGTCATCATCAGACCCCATGCCAGAATCCGTGGAGGAGCTGTGAGACGAGAAGGTGACTCCGCCGACGGCGGGTGGCGGCGGAGGAGGGAAGGCTGAGAAGGGCGAAGAAGAGGGCGTTTGGATGGGATTGGCGACGGAAAGAGGTACGACGTTAAGGGTTGAGGGAGCGGTTGCGTTTGCAGCGGCAGTGGCAGCGTTAAGAGCCTCGAGCTGAGCGAAGAACTTGTAGGCTTTACCGTCTTGGCGACCACCGCGAGCTTCTTTGGTGCGTTTGTAATATTTCTGGACGTTTTCGAACTTCTCTTTGCATTTCTTGGCACTGCGTTTGTACCCAAGCTCCGACAGCTTCCTACAAAAAAAAAAGAAAAAAAAAACCAGACACTGTCATTCACTGCATCAACTAAACCAGTTTTGAACTAATTTAGATAAAAGAAGAAAATGGGTGACGCAAAGCCTGTTCCTTTTTTCTTGGGATTTTCAAAATCGAAAACGTCCCACTGAATTTCATGAAACCACAAGCTTTTCTGCATAAACAATATAATATTTTTTTTGATGTTGATGATGAATATATAAACAAATATACAAATGAATAATTAAGGTAATCTTCCCGGCCGGCAAATAAAGGAAAAATGAGAAAAAAGGAGAGAGAAGAAGTGGTCACGGTATATGGAAGGGATCTGAGCTAATTTTTTAATCGAACACGGGAGAGAATCAAGTAGAAGGAACCCAAAACCGACATAGAGAGAGAGAGAGAGAGGGTTGCGGACAATCCATGTGGATGTGTTGATTGCCACAGAGAGAGGAGAGAGAGAGAGACCTGGAAACGTCTTCCCAGAGAGGGGCTTTGAGAGTGGCGTCGCGGAAGATGGAGTCCATGTCGGATCGGATCCTGAGGAGGGCGAGAGTCTCTTCCATCGGCCATCTGATGCCGGAAGACGAACTTCCTCCGCCGTCGTAATCGGCGGCCGAGAACCTCATTAGCTCTTCGAAGTTAGCCGGAGGTCTGGAACTGATGGGCGATGCCTCTTCCACCACTTCGCCACCTCCTCCTCCTCCTTGATCCATCCGATTCTGTATGTATCTGACGATCCGAACCGAACCCACCTGCTGAAATGAATCGAAACCCGACAAGTTGACGGTTTTCCGACAGTCTGTGTTAATTACTCCGATGACCTCATCACCGTCCTCCGCCGCCGCAGGAATCTACTGAAGCTGGGTATCGGAGAACCTCCTGATTAACTCAACTATATATCCTCCACACCTCCTCGGCTATTCTCAGCACTACCTCTCTCTCTCTCCCCTCCTAACTCATTGATGAACATGAAGCAGCGAGAGAGAGAGAGAGAGAGAGAATAGAGGAAATCGATCGAGAAAGAAGAAATGGGTGTAAGGAAGAGAAGGATCAGGATCAGCTCTGCAGCTTTTTTTTTTACTCCAACTGGGTCACACAGAAAACGAAGATGAGGATTCCGAGGATGATGATAGATAGAAGGAGACGAGGAGAGAGAGAGAGAGAGAGAGGCTGAGGTGTAAGAGTGCTCTAACTTTGCAGCAAATAATTGTTAAACCCACTTTTTGCCACCATTCCTTTTGTATTAATTGATACTCTCTCTCTCTCTCCTTCCTTTTTCCCATAATAGTTTTTTAATTTATTATTAATTAGCCCTAACGTTACATTTGGATCTGTAAACATCACTACACCTCCTCGCTAATCCGAATGATTATTATTTCCATTTAATTTCAAACAAAATCATCATCATCCTCTCCTGTACACGTGGCGCGATGTGGTTCGTGGACAGCCTTGACATGCCCACCTCCTCCCTCTCCAATGCAACAGTTTACATTTACTTTCTTTCTCGCAAAAAAAAAAAAAAATTATTATTATTATTCCAAAATATACGGCTTAAACTACAGTTATGTGTAGGTGTAATGCCTTGGTTTTTAAGTATGTCGGTCCGAATATCAAGAGCAAGGGTAAAGGATACGGACGGATTTAGTTTAATAATGTCATTTTATAATTGATCTCAGTTCAGTTATTTAAACGAATTTATATAAAAATTAGTGAAAATGAGATGAATTTTATGTGTGTATTTCTTAGAAACCAGATTAATATATATATTTTTATCATATTATTAATGCATCCGATAATAGAAATTTTCTACATCGTTCTATGATGGAATCGTATTATTACATACTTTGACATATCAAGTTATATATGTGCATGATTTGGGCTAGAATTTGAAATCTTTGAATCTAATTGATTAAGAAAACAGCTCATATTTGTTATATCCATATTCTTGCATAGATTACTTATCAAATTTATACAAATAAAACGATAATATTTATATCTTGGGAAATGAAGATAAATATAAAAAGATAAAAGCACGAGCATGGGAATATGAAAATGAATATGTACATGTATACAGTATACATGGGACGTCCAAATATTTCATAAATATTAATTTTTTTTCTAAAATTAGGTTTTTAATTGCCAAATTTTTCTGTTAGAAATTATTTCTCGCTCTATCTATATATATATGTTATATAAATCGGTTCTACTAATAAATATGATGTGCTTTGATAATTTTTGGTATATTTGTAGAGTTATTAAGGTAAATGAAATCGTGTATATTAAGTTTATATGCATCGATCGAGTTTTAATTTAAATAAACACTGCAACTAACAAAGAAGACTAATAATAATAGAGGGAATAAAGCAGAGAGAGAGAGAGAGAGAGAGAGAGAGAGAGAGAGAGAGAGAGAGAGAGAGAGAGAGAGCGGCGGATGAGAGTGAAAGGTGGGACATAAACAGAAAGGAACAGCTGTATCTCTCTCTCTCTTACATGTCCACATACACATCTCTACCTATTATTATTATTATTATTATTATTATTATTATTATTATTATTATTATTATTACATCGATATTTTCTTATATTATCATCTCATATTATATTACTTAATGTGTATAGTAAATGTATGTGTATTCATGTGTTTATAGACATTTCCCCCCTATTCCAATAGAATTTAAACTAACGGGTTGGGTGCATTTCATATCCATTTATTTTATACAATCGAACAATATTTATTTTGAAAATAGATATTTTAAAAAAATATTGAATTTAAATCTGAAAAACCTATTAGGGGTTTTAATGGATGAGAGTTTTTGAAATTTTAAAACACAAAAAAGTCAATCAAGATCTTATAAAATTAATTTTTCTAAAAACTCAGATAAACTATTTTGTTTTAAATATCAATTAAAAATAACAAACTATTTTTTATTGAATTTTAAAGAAAAATTATTCTTTTTTATTAAATTATTTTATTTTCCATTAAAGTTAATTACATAAATATTTTGAAGACAAAATATTCATGATTTTAAAGAAAGTTTTATCTTATACATATGTCTATTCTTACAATTTTTATTACAATTCTTCAAATTTATTGTTATATATATATATATATATATATACAATTTTTATTACAATTCTTCAAATTTATTGTTATATATATATGAAAATCTTACCACATAAATATCAGATTATTTTAATTATTTTTGCAGTAACATTATATGATTATTGATTTTTTGTATTGGGATCTTGTTTCTCAATTAAATATTTTCAATCAAGTTTAACAAAAATTATAAATACTATAAAAACCAAAAACCCAAAAAATTAAACACACGATCTCGATTAAAACAATAAAAAATCAAACTGAAAAAATAAGATAAAAAGAAAAAAAAAAGAGTACTCCCCCATTTCTTAATAGATTAACAATATTTTTTGTTACTAGATATCATTTTTAGATTTTCTAGTTAATTTTTTAAAATAATTCTCACTTTTTAAAACTATCTAATTCTAACAAACTCAACGTTTTTATCGTCAAAATTTAATGAATATTAATTATGTTTCAACTATCACATAATGTGCATATGATATAGACTTTGAAAAATGAAGAAAAAGTTTAAAAGTAAATAATTAAAAAAAATGAGGGAGTAATATTTACGTGATATTAAATGAAGAAAAAGAGGTGGAGGTGGTCAGAACGTGGGCGGGGTTCCTCGTTGATTTGTGAAGTCTCTCCTTACCGTTGTTTCCCTTTCATACACCACATGCCCTCTCCTTTTCCTCGTTACTATTGCATTAAATTAAACCCTATTAATCTTCCGGATCTCTTTTTTATAAATCGAAATATCACACACCACTTAATGTTTCATGCTATATTTTTGTATGATCCGAAGATATATTCATTCATTCCATTCCATTCCATCGCATAATCGTCTATGGTCACCGAGTGAAGACCGGTCTAACATGGAATCCTGGATTAGTTACTATTACTATACGAGAGGAAATCGAGGGTGGAGGGGCGCGAGGACAATTGGACGAGGCAGTCAAGGTTAGATCTCGAGGGAGGCGACAAAACCTAGCCGAGCGGGGGGCGAGAGGCCACGAATAGCGCGAGGGATGAGGAACAAGCTGCTCAAAGCTCACCGCTCGCTTCTCGGTCCGGGGGCACATTGCTCCGTCGTCTTCTCTCGCCAAGACTCTCTCCCTCATCACTGCCTCACTCTTACCCTCTCGTCTGGTCAGATATCTGCAGTATTTGACCCAAAAAAGAACCCAATGGGATAAAACCAGTAAACCAAAAAACTCGGGTACCCGACCAGCCCACCCCTAAAACCAAGTCTAGCAAATCTAAAGGAAAAGCCTTCACAGGAATGTAGCTAAACCCGACATTAATGTTGCCCTAAAGAAACCTGTTACTATAGTCCATAAATGTCCTATTCAGGGTGTGGACAAAAACAATTAGAAACCCTGGGCTCACACTCGGCCAGTGTGTCAGAGTTCACCGCTCATGTCCAAAAGTGTAATCTAATCAGCTTTCGATGTAATCTTGTTATGAGATTTATAAGACCACTCGAATGCATTAACTGCACAGAAAGAACCAAACAGAAACCACCAATCACAGATCTATGACCCATTTAGATTCAGAGGGAAAAAAAAACAACAGCTCCGAATCCAACTTGGACTTGTCCTTAAATCATCCATAGAACTATGTGATCACATCACCAGGGGATACAACTGGCTGCAAAAGAATTTGAATTTCAGCAGACATGAAATCAACGAAAGGACGTTACCCCTAATTCGAAAAAAAATGCAGAGAGAGTTCTCTGAGCCGAAGATTGACAATGCAAAACCAATGCGGCAATGCCTTTCTAGGTCAGAAGACAGCCAAAGTCTTGATCTTACTTACCTATGTGCAAGGACAGGATAGAACTGAAGTTGCCCAGGTCCAGTGTCCATCCGAAATGTTCAGAGAACTGGTTGGAGCCAGAAATTCTCTTTCCACACTGTCCAACTGTTAAGCTGAGAGATTCATTAGTAGCTCGGACTGGTCGGGCCTGTCAAAGAAGTAGAGAAAAGGTATGGCTCAATCGCAAATCATAACCAAAGACATTGAACACAAGATCAAAGGGATAAGAACCACACCAAGTGCCAGTTCGTCTGGAGAGGAAACCCTGGATCCCGAATTTTCTCCACCTTAGGATTGGTGTAACGGATATCAGTGAACATTCTGTTCGAATGAATGTAACATACAGTAGCGTCTAGGTACAGGAGTTAGTTAACGGTTATTCTTGTATATATGTTGTAAAACAGAAGAGAATAAGATTAGTAGAAAATTTCGACCCTCTCTCATACTTTTCTCTCTCTTCAGTTCATCTTCTTCCTCCTGGATTCCAAGTTTCTGATATGGTATCAGAGCGAGTGTAAGAATTCAATTCTATCCGATCAAATTCTTCAATCCTCTGTTCATTCTCTGGTACGATCATGTCGACAACATCAAATGAAGTTCGTTCGACACTTTCGCGTCCAGAATCGTATGCGAATCCCTACTTCCTTGGCAGTGGAGATACTGTCAATGCTCTGCTGGTTTCTGATCGCCTTGTCGGTCATTGCGATTTCAATTCTTGGCATCGATCGATGTCCATGGCTCTGAATGGACGCAACAAGATGTGTTTCGTCAATGGTAAACTTCCTAAACCTCCTGATGAACATCCGGATTCTGATGCTTGGTCTAGGTGCAATGACGTCGTTTGTTCTTGGATTCTCGCATCGGTTACGAAAGACATATCTGTTAGTCTTCTATATGTGGAATCTGCCAAAGAAATGTGGGATGATTTACTTGAAAGATTTCAAGAAAATAATGCGCCGAAATTATATGAAATTGAAGAACGGTTACAGAATCTTCGTCAAGGTTCGATGAAGGTGTCTGCTTATCATACTGCAATGCTTACCATATGGAGTGACTTCAAGAACGCACAAGTAACTCCTGTATGCACTTGTGGAGCACATGCTAAATGGCAGGCGATGTTCGAAAGGAGCTTTGTTATCAAGTTTCTGTTTGGGCTCAATGAATCTTTTGAGTCAGCTCGAGATCATATAATGATGATGGACACCTTACCAGATCTCAACAAAGTTTTCAGTATAGTTTTGAAGCATGAACATCAACGTTCTGTGAAGAAACCTGTTCAATCTGATTCGGTCATTCTCCAAACTACAGCAGTTCAACCTG